TCACATTGATGCCGCTCTTTGCTACGGTAATGAGAATGAAGTCGGCCAGGGTATTAAAGAGGCCATTGACAATGGCATTGTCAAGCGCGAGGAGCTTTTTGTAACTACCAAGTTGTGGTGCTCCTACCATGCCCGTGTTGAGGAGGGCCTCCAGCAGAGCTTGACAGATCTCGGACTCGACTATGTCGACCTTTATCTGATGCACTGGCCTCTGGCGATGAACCCTAAGGGTGAGTTGAACTTCTTCAAACATTCAGATTTGAGGTATTGACCATTTCCACTGCAGGCAACCACAACATCTTCCCTAAGCTCGCTGATGGCTCGCGGGACATTATCCACAGCCACTCTCACGTCACTACCTGGAAGAGCATGGAGAAGCTTGTCGGCACCGGCAAGGTCAAGGCCATCGGTGTTTCCAACTACAGTGTCAAATACCTAGAGGAACTCCTGCCCCAGGCCACCATTGTCCCCGCTGCCAACCAGATCGAAAACCACCCCTTGCTCCCCCAGCAAGAGATTGTCGACTTCTGCAACAAGGCTGGCATTCACATCACCGCTTACAGCCCTCTGGGCAGCACCGGTAGCCCGCTGTTCACTGCCGAGCCCATCGTGGCCGTCGCCGAGAAGCGCGGAGTTAGTCCGGCTACTGTTCTGCTTAGCTGGCACAGTAAGTATTTCTCAATATTCTGCACCTGAGGCCGGATACAGCGTACTAATTGATTGTCCTAGTCGCCCGTGGCTCTTCTGTCCTGGCTAAGTCCGTCACCCCTGCCCGTATCGAGGCCAACCGTACCGACTTGATCCACTTGGACGCCGAAGATGTGGCCACCCTTCGCAAGTACAGCGATGGTCTCCAGGCTGAGGGCAAACTCCAGCGCTTTGTCTACCCTCCGTTCGGTGTCAACTTTGGCTTCCCCGATAAGCAGTAAGCTTTCTTGGTACCCGAAAAAATGGTCGATACACTTGCTACACGTATATAAAGGAGCGGTGCGTTTTCGTTTTATGAAATAGATACCAAAATGGAAGATTTATGATTTCATGAGTGATACTGTTTACTTGAACTATAGAACGGCCGTGTTTCTATCACTTATTACATGGACTCTCTACTCCGTGGATATAGAAATTCTTCCATCCATCAAGCTATCCAAATCCTAGCTCAATACGTGTAGAATGTCTCAGTATCTGTGAAATCCGGCGCGTATGTTTTGAAGACGGCTTCTTTGTAGAAGCTTTAGACAGGCATCATGTCATGTCGCACTATATATCTCGGAGCCTGGAATATCTGAGCGTAATGCTTAGATATAGTGGTCTTTTTGGCTTAGCATGTTGTAACTCGCTAGTCTAGGGGCAGGTTGTAACACATCGCTTGATTTCGCGCTTTTCAGTCTCCTCAGTGGACTCTTGGATTGACTCCTTCAAAAAAGTGTTCTTCTTTCGCAAAGCAAATATTCTAAGCAAAAATTGTTATTCTGGTGTTGCGCACAGACAATAGATGGGCTACTTCCAAGTTCCAGGGATATTGTCGGGGTCGATGGAGCTTAATAGAGCTTTAAAAGACAGTACATCGACTCAGGTTTTCTTTCTTACGAAATGTTCAAGGACTTCCTCATCCGCGAACTGCAAAAGGGAGACAAAAGGGAGAAGTTCGCTCTGGGTATGCTCTCTGTGCCAGGGGTATTTTGGACTCTACGACGGAGCAGTTCTCGACGCTGATCATTCTCGTTCTTAGAGATTTCCACATGTTTAGTAGCCATTTGTGGTCCCTCAAAGTTCCGAAAGAGGAGTGCCCTAGCTGTCTCGTCCTATCGCTTGCCTAAGCATAAGACACTACCTGATGCCTGCTCAACGGCATTAGTGTCTCTAATTGTCCTCCATAATAAAGCTGTACTATGTGCCCGTGTTCTTTCCTCCTAGCTGTACTAGGTGCTACGGATGATAGACACCTAGGCTTGGATTGTTATCCCATAGCCTTGGTAGGTAAACCAGCTCCCCATTCCGATATTGTAGCGGCGCATGAAGACCGGCCGGCCTAGAAGTGCCTCTTCATACGGACCACATCTATCACACGTGGAATGGTTGGAGTATTTGTCAGCTAGGCAAGTTTGGTCCGGTTACTAAACTCGAATCGTGTTGAAACTGATACAACATTTTTTCCTCTGCGGAAAGCTCTATGTCTGCTGTTCTGAAATCGATGGGTTTGAACATATCTTGTATGGCAATGAAAGGGCCTAAGGAATTTGGCAAAGATGACCCTGGAGATCTTTGAATCTTAATCAGGTCAAAACCTAGTCCGAAGTAATCGGCCACTATCTAGAGGGTCTCCCGATGGCACACATCAGATCACGCGAGACTGCAGGATCAAGTAGCATCAAGTGGACCGGGGATATTTTGTGCAGTTGCTTCAATTCCAGCTTTCTGCTCTCCGATGCGATTATCATGGCGGCTGGCCCAGTACTCCTAGTCATCTCTGGTCTCCACTCTAGATCTTATTTTGATATGTGTTTCGCAGGAGGTGACAATCATGACTTTTCGTGCGCCAGGGTTGCTCCGATCAAGCATACATCAGATATTTTGTGGAAAAACCAAATTTTGCATCTGAAACACGGAATGTCTGTACCCGAGCATCTGCTCTGCTGTCGTTGCCACTCCCGGCACCCAAACACTGTGATAACATCGAATCCGCTGCACCAGAGGATTTGGTCAGCGAGTCGGCTTTCCCAGGCTGCTGCAGTTGACTTTGGCTCCCTATTGTTCCGATACGGCTTGTGCTTGGCTGCTTCGTAATCAAACGTGATGCCGTGCTTTTTGAAGAGGCCGTAAGGAATAACATATTTTCTTCGCTTTGTGTGTTCGTTCCGCACACGCAATCTGATGTCCTTTGATGTTGACCAGCCGCACCAGCTTACTCTTGGTGCACTTCTCGGTATCGCGAAGTGGGACAACCATGTCCCGATGATCAGAGGCCACGACATCCACCGCTATATCAAGTTATAGGTCCTATGTTGTTGGACCTTCTTATACTAGCGACTGGCAGCTCGCTGCAAGTTCACAGAGGATGGCGATTCCACCACGGGACCGATAGTAAAAAGCTGGTTGGACTTTAACGTTTGAGTCCGTTTTCAAATTCAAGTTTCATTGCTTTGGGGCGTGTTCGTGGCCGATCAAAGGGATTCCTCCCCGTGCGATGAGCACAAACAGTAGTCCAAATTGGGCATTTAGACTAGGTCTTCAGGTGTCCGTCTGGCTCTCATAGTTCTAGCTTGGGGAGTCAAAATGAGATCTGAGGGATGGTATGACCAGGTTGTGGTGCAAAATGTATGGGAAGTAGGGCAACAGTCCCTTGGAATAAGAGCAGGATGTGATTGAAGAAGATTTAGAAACGCAAGGAACCTGTCGATTGTGGACTGTTATGGTGACTGGATATGCATTGTTGCTTTCCTCTCAAGAGCGAGATCATCACGTGTGGCCACGGGTACCTACATATATCACTACAAGAATAGTTGACCGCTTGTACAGACTTGGCCTTGTTAAGTCAGTTCGATAGTTATTTTGGCAGTCTTTTCAGATGTCTCCTTAGTTGGATATACTGATATCTAGTTCTACAACGTTGTTTTCAAATGTTATTCGTGTATTTTGTATTCCTGTTTCTGATGAAACCAAACTGACTGATATCTAACAGATTTCAAGCTTAGTGGCAAGAATCATCTGTAAAGTCATCAGCAAGGCTTTACTCTTTATGCCAGGCAGTCGAAGGCATGCTACAAAGTTGCTTCTTTTTGAAGTACGTAATGGCTACTTTGTAGGAGATGGCTTGAGATGAAGCCGGCCGAGTGCGGATATCCACAAGGGGACCATAGGCTACCATTCGGCGGGTCATGTCTCTCACTATCCAACCTTGGAAGGAGGGCCTTCGGATCAGATAAAAGCGCCACAGTACGCTAAACCTTGGAAAGAACCCAGGCCAGCAGCCCAATCTAATCAGATGATCAGAGAAATTATCAGATTCGATAGCATTCGGGACATTTCCAGGAAAATGAACCCGAGTAGCATCCGACTGCGCCTGCAGTACGCGGTCATACCCACTTAGCAACGTGGTAGAAGCTCGGTTTTTTTTCCATAGGGGGAAATGTTCCAGGGAGATCAGTCTGAGCCTAGCTGCCTGGCTGTTATTGCTTTGCTAATTGGAAAACTGTGGATCTAGATTTCAGCCATGTGTGATCAGACCGGGTTGAGCCGAAAGGAAGGGGGGTTTTCTCGGATGCCGCCTTCTAGAGAAAAAAAGTTATCAGATCCTTTCGGTCCCTGGCTCCACAGAGTGGATGGGCTCTAGTCATACGTGGATCCATTCAAATGAAGGATTTTTTGAACTGCCAGGTATGTATGGAAGGTACGGAGTATGGAGTACAAAGCATACTGTTGCTCAAGCCCCATATAATTCATTCCGCAACATACAGTATTTGTTTCACATATAGATTACTTGCATACATACTAGCGGTATCCTTTTGTAACTTACTTAGAGTACCATATTATTTATTACATACGATACCGCCGTTCTCCCGGTAAGCGGAAGTAAATAACAGGTGAGCTATGTACTAGTCGCTGAAAACTCGGCATGGGCTCATATGCGATTCTTGGCATCCAGTGTCGAGGGCGATGTACAAAATAAACCTTACATGTTGAAGTTGGATGTTAGGCATAATGATAACCAAGCTAGCTGTCCAAAATGCCTCTGTTATTATGGAATATGCCTCGAAGCTCATTGTCAAGTTTCGAATACCCGTGGACGGCTCTACAGATTACAAGATCAAAAACATTGGTTCGGATAGTCATGACATTCTGCATTCAGATCGTCATGTAAATATGATTAGATAATAAGGTACAAAGAGCAAAGCTGGCCGATAACTGCCTGGGAGCAGCTAGTCGTGTTTTGGATATAAGAGGAAATGGTTCATCACCAGGGTATTTGACGAATATTATTCCCAAAGACGAAGATAAACGCCTTAGAAGACGGTACCCTTGACTTGAGCGACCTTCCGCAGGTCAATGTCTCTGATCATGAGGGCCCAGAAGACACAAAGACCCATTAGACCAGTGCCAACAGCAAGCATTCTTGTCTGAGAATACCCATACGCTTCCTGAATAGCCAGTCTCGCGGCGGATCCAACGGGATAAGACAGCTGCTGTGCAAGATCCTCGTAAATCAACTCGATATCTGGCATCACAAGCTCTGGAAGCCGCACTGCCAGGGCTTTGTGGAATGTGTGAGTCCAGATTGCGGCGCAAATAGTAGAACCAGCAGCATTACCGACAGTGCCCACGACGTTGAGCAGAGCAAGAACAGTTGCGACGTGCTGGTGATCAGCGGCAGCCAAGATAGCAACCTGCTCAACAAGGATGAAGACAGACCCGCCAATAGAGATGAAAATCTGACACATGACAAGATAGCCGACAGATTGGTTAGGGCGACGGAAGTAAATCATCAATCCCTGGGCAAAGATGTAAAGTGGCACCGCAATGTAGAGAGTCCACTTGAAGCGACCAGTCCTGCGAATGACGAAACCAACTCCGAGCAAAAGGAAGCCGGAGACGACGTCGAAAGTGTTGCTAACGTAGCCTGCCTCAGAGATGCTGAGGTTGTTGACTACCTGCAAGAAAGATGTATAATAGTTGTTCCAGCAGTAGTAAGATATCTGGTAGTTCACGTTGAGCAAACATGCACCAATGATAGTTCGATCGGTCAACAGGCTGAAGTTGAACATTGGGGTGGGGGCAAAGCGTAATTCCCAAACAAGGAAGACACCAAGCATGACAAATCCGACCACGATCATGGCAATGATATAGTCTGATGCCCAGCCCTTAGGGGCATAACTAGCAATGCTGAATGGAAGGAGGAAGACTGTAAGGCCGGCAGAGAACACCAAAACACCAACAACTACGCAAGTTAGTATTTCACTATATTCAACGCTTTAGAAAGCTGTTCACTCACAATCGAACTCCTTGATATAGAACCAAACGCTTTGGAGCAAGGTCCGGCCGCTAGGCTCCCTGACTGCAAGACCGTTCTGGTGGGCCTTCTTAAGATTGGCCTTCAATATGAAGTAAAGAGGGGAAGCAACAATAGGGAAGATAATGGAGAATGCGCCAAAGGCCCACCGCCAGCTGATGTCCTCGTAGAAGCCCTCGGCAGCCTTGGGGCCAGCAAATGCCGTGATGATATATGGCGAGGAGGTAAAAGCGTAAGCCAAACCTCGGTTCTTGAGCTTGGAGATGTCGGCGGTGATGACATCCACACAGTATGTCATACCTCCGAATCCAATGCTGTAGAAGACGTACGCAGCGCAGAAGGTGGGAAGGTTGTTGCATACAGCCATGAGAACCAGACCGAGGGTAGCAAAAACGGTCATAACCAGGAAACCTTCTGCACGGCCAAAAACGTCCATAACCTTGGCAGTAGGGATGTACACAGCGGCTGTCATGGCGTCTGCGACAATGTAGATGACATTGAGTAGGGAGTGGCTTTCGAATTCACTGGTGACAAAGCCGAGCAAACTGTAGTTAATCGTGGATTGCATAGCATTGACGAAGTACAAGAACCAGATGCTATTGAATATTCATGTTAGTAAACAATCTGGTTTGCACAGGTCGATTGCCTGTCGAGGTAAAAAGACAAGAACTTACTTCGCAAAGACCGCAATTAGCATGCCCTTCGTCCAGCTCAAAGTCACGGCCTCGAGCTCTTTGACACCCTGCTGTGCATCTTCGGTGGGAAGTTCAGGGTTTTTCTCATCGGCTTCAACAGCAGCAGCACCCTCGGTGGTCAGTTCGCTCTTTCTTTCGCCATCAGTGCTCACAGCGACTTGAGTAATAGACTCTTCGTGGGTCGATGACCGCCGGAAGGCAGATCGGAACCCCATGTTGTTGATCTGGAGATAAAAAAAAAATAGGTTGGAGGAACTCAAAAAAACCACAGAGCCCAAGGGAAACCCTTGCCCTTATAGCAAATATAATCTCTAGTTATTGGCGCTCCAGGTCCAGCGCTTTTTTTTTTTAAAAAAAAAAAAAAAAACACCGAACTCGGCAGCTTGGTACAATCTCGAAAGACTAATCCACGCCACACTGTGAGAATGAACCAGTAGAAAAATCCTTGGCGATGTCCCAGGGTTTCTTTGCTGGGTAATCAAGTAACCGAGATTTGTTTTTCTCTCCCATAGGGTCTCTTTGCACAGGCCATGTGTGCTCACCCCACTGAAAGCGTTGGCACAGAATGGGACATTCCGAAGGCAGAATCTAATCAGATTGCACAAACTATGGGTTTCATACCGGATGGTGCTGGGAAGGCAATGCCAACCGGGGATAGAACCCTTTCTAGCTTCAATCACCTCGTAAATACTTCCTGTTTAGGAAATAATTAATATGTGAGACGAGCTTGGCATAGCTTGGCACTCATACTGGAGCTGTCGCGACAGGAGCCGGAAAAAGAATTAAGAAAAAGAATTAATAGATGAGAGATTGGTTCGACGTGTTTGAGCGTTGGGGGCCATTGCTAAAAGCTATCTATGCCCTAAACGCGAGATCCATGCGGATTAACCCGGTCAATATAAAGTACTCCGTAGTATAATGTTTGTAGGTAATAGCGGTATGTAACATATGTATTTAGAGATATTATACTCCGTACAGATTTCCAAGATTTTTGTGGGATATTAACAGGTATGAGAAAAAAATATCTCTTTCTCTAGCTTAGAGTGCTTACAACTGCATATTGTGTTAGACCCAACATTGAAATATTTGAAACATTCCAAGAATTCCAAGAATTCCAAGAAAACGTCCCATTAATTACATCGTGTTACGGTTTAATCAGATAAGTCTATGCCCCACTACTAACCATGGCACGGCCGTATGATGGTGGAAACTAGTTGCGCCACCCAATCTGATTACAGAGTAGTGGGGGCCATGTGGACTTTTTGTTTTCTCACAACTTCGAATTTTTCCAGCTCGGTGACCGCTTCTCCACAAATGCCTGGATGCCTTCGGCAAAGTTAGGACCACCAACCAACCGAGGATACCACTGATCCGCCAGATCAGATACGGTATCCTCCACACTGCCAGCTTCCCAGCTCATTCGAACACCCAGACGACCAACAATAAGAGCATCGGGGCTATTTTTGCACATGACTTCGGCAACTTCGACCGCTGCTCGGACGACATCGGCAGGTGAATCCACTACCTGAGTGATGAGACCCCAGTCATGTAGTGTGGTGGCGCTCACATTCCTGCCAGTAAGCACGAGATCCATCGTGCGTTGTAGCCCAATGGTGCGGGTCAGCCGCGGCAAACATCCGGCCACTGGCACAATCCCTCGCTTCACTTCCGGAAGGGAGAAAATAGCTGAGGATGAAGCCAAGATAAGATCGCAATTCGCCACCATCTCGAAGCCTCCACCCATGCAGATGCCGTTGACGGCGGCGATAATCGGTTTCTTGCCGGACCGGCGAGGCAATCCAGCCAGACCTGGTGCGGACATGTCATTGACAACACCAGCCTTGTTCATCGCGTTCCATTCTATTGAATTTAGAGTCAGTCTTTGTCTTCGATATTTCAGGTGCCAGAAGACAAGAAACCCACCTCCCAAATCAGCCCCTGTACAGAAGGCTCGTCCAACACCGGTGATTATGGCAACCCATAGGCTTTCATCTTCATCAAATAACTCCCAAATCTTGGCGATCTCTTGACTTGTAGCTTTGTCGATGCAATTTAGCTTTTGTGGTCTATTGATTGTGACCTGGACAACTCGCTCATGCGGAAAAGAGATATAGAAATTCTCATAATTCAAGGGTCCTGATCGTAAAGACATGATGAATTGTGAAGAATATGCAGAGTATTGTGACTAATTCAGCTTTGTGTTGTCTATGTTTTGACTTTACAATCTTTTCCCCCTGGGCTGGGCTATGGATTATGTATTGTCATTCGTAGGGGAGCTCGGTCGCAGAATGGTTCCACGGAACCTCGGGACTGATTTAAGTAACTCCATAACAAGGCGATGTCGGTATTCTCCCCGTACAATATACCAATATTGTTATTGTAAGTATATATTTGAAAAATAACAGCCCCATACCTGTTACAGATGGGAAAGAGATTCGGTCTCGGTTACTATATCCTTGCTTGATCATCCTTTACCTTTTGGAGGTTTCACCTACTCTGTAACTCCGTACATATAATCTGATTGCGCAGGGCGGGGGTACTTTCTTTTTTTTCCCTACCCCAAAACTCCAATTCCTTCGAAATTCTTGATCCCACCATTGAAGATCGTGAAATCCGCGACAATGGCCTCAAAATCACACCAATATCCTCTGGTCAAGCTACCACACCCTTATCTGACCGCATATCGTGTGAACACAGTCGCTGGATCGACACCAGCGAAGCGCAACTTGACACTTGATAAGCAGCCCGCAAATGGACGGCCTTTGCCAGAACAACTACACTCAGACTCGCTTTCATGGCTGGATTTGACATTCATTCCCAAAACTGAGCAGCCACCTATCTCAGATAACACTCCCTGGGGTCGCGCACGTCGCAGCCCCCAGACTGTCTTCGAGTGGTCAGGGAGCAGCGCCCCTTCTTTGGGCCAAATTTGGAACGTGGTTCACGCCATTTACCTCGGTCACCCAACAATCGAGTATTTCAGACTTACTCTGTCTGGCGCAGGGCAGGAAGTCATCCGCAATGAGCTTCTTACCACCGGATTGGCAATCACGCACCCGAGGAATCTGCGGGACAGAGAAAACAAGGCTCTGCAATTCGATGATTTGCTGATCCTCCGAAGCGCCTTCTGGCAAGGTGCTGCTTCTCCAATGGGCCCTCGTCCCATCTGGGTGGTGGGAGATGGCACAGATGGCCCTATGCGGGAGCCTTTGTCTCAGTATCCAATCATGCCCGAGAACTACCAGGTCACAAACAAGTTCCCCGAGGAGCCTGTATACACCCGCCACCCGACTCGTCGCCCCAAGCCGCACCCCGGATCTATTGCCTACAGTCGTTACATCCCAGAGATTAACGAGCACTTCTCACTCGAAGTCGTTGACTGGCAAAGTTCGGAGCATGTCGAGCTGTTTAACAAGTGGCAAAATGACCCGCGTGTTGCCGCAGGCTGGAATGAGACTGGAACTATTGAAGAGCACACCGAGTATTTGCGCAAACTGCACTTCGATCCCCATGTGCTGTGCTTGTTCGGACGTTTCGATGATACCCGCTTCTCATACTATGAGCTGTATTGGTCAAAGGTAAATTCCCCAATTCAATCGCGCTTTAGCCTGGCATTGACACTAACACCTCGTCTATAGGAGGATCACTACGGTGCTCACTACGATGCTGGAGACTATGATCGCGGCCGTCACTCTCTCGTTGGCGATGCCAGCTTCCGAGGTGCACACCGCGTGAACGCCTGGTACTCGAGTTGCATCCACTATGTCTTCTTGGACGATCCTCGGACCGGTAACGCTGTCGGTGAGCCCAAGGCCACCGGCGGTATTATCCTATCCTACGAGAATGCGCAGGGACTCACAATTGGCAAGTACGTCGATCTCGGACATAAGCGATCGGTGCACTCGGTTTGCAGTCGTGAAAAGTGGTTCCAGTTGTGTCCTCTATTCTGGGACGGACGCGAACGGCCTTTAGAATCTGCAGATCGCGCCGCGTGGAATGCTAAGCTGTAAAAATTTGCTTGGCTTTCCTTCACTTGGATCGGCAAAAATTACAATATTCAATGTACAAAAATTTCATGACACATTCTTGAGGACTTTTTTTTCCATTTGCCGTCATCTTCCCGAGACAAGTGGGGGTAGCTCGTGTTGCTCCACCCTCTTCCTTATTGGGTCAGTTACTCTCAGCAACGTGTTGGTCTACTCCGCTTTGCCCCAATCAATCAGATAATCTTTCAGGGTTTTCTAAATTGCATGTTGTGACGGGGTCCACTTGTCTTAAATACTGTAGTTCAATATTGATTTTGTGTATAGTAGCAATAATACGGAGTACATACATATATGTACATTTTGTATTCTTGTAGAATATTCTTTTCGGATATTTAATATGCAAAATGTCAACCTTAGAATATACATGCATAGCACTAGGAAAGACTAAAATAAAATACTATATACTTAATAGGATATATCTACATACTTACCTCTGAGAGAGATAATTTTAGAGATAATTCATTGAGGCACTTGTAATTTCCCATCTATCCACCACAGCCAGCCCAAAAAAAAAAAAAAAAAACAACACAACAAGAACAGCCCGAAAGTTCCGCATTTAAAATACATACACAGTGTATCTTATGAATGTAAAATACAGCCCTGTTGAATTGACAGACAAAATACAGCCGTATCCACCGGGGAATACACGTATGGACGATAGTATGGAACCTTGATACATGGGCCCCACTTTGATCTGATAACTCCCCTCGTATAATTGAAATTCTTCATAGTACCCTCCCTGGTGGGTTGCATCTTGGGATCCAACTCCTCAAAACCGATGTCGGCTGATTAAAAAACTAGCTCGGCATGTTAAACACCCGGAAACCCCTTGAAATTTCCATCTTCACACTTGGCATATACATATCCTTCTTTGGGTCTTCATCGTAACCCACAGCTAAAGTCGCTTCACCGAATGGATTCACGCTAAGGAGTGGGTGCAATTTTCATGGTGACGCCACTGTCAAGCTAGCAAAGCGATAAAAAAAAAATCGATCGCTTGCCAGAACTTAGCTTCTTCAACACTCAAACGACAATCCCAGTGTTGAACGCCATTTTCGAGTCATCATGGGTTTCGGGAATCTTGCGGATTACCCCAGGCTGCTGGTGGCTGCCAACCCCTCACGACTCGAATTGGGAACCCTCTTTGTTGGCCTGGCGTCTGCAATTGG